TCTATCTATCTATATATCTATCTATCTATCTATCTATCTATCTATCTATCTATCTATCTATCTATCTATCTAATCTACCTTTATCTATCTATCTCTATATCTCTATATCTATCTATCTATCTATCTATCTATCTATCTATCTATCTATCTATCTATCTATCTAAATTGTATTCATAAACACTTTTTCTGAAAAACAATGCATGGTCAAAATATATCATTTACAAATAAAAAAGACAAAAAAAAAAGAAAGAAAAAGAAAAGTGGTGTTGAGCGTGGAAATACAAGCTAAGAACAATAATAATGATATAGTAACAATAAGGTAATAATATAACCAAAAAGCTTTTAGCTAAGTTTCTTCTTACATTAAAATATTTACATTTTGGTTGATTATTGTAATTATTTACCTTCTTATTTTCAGTGCTAACATTTATGATCTTATTTTTCTCTAATTCCTACCTCTGGCTTCTACCCATTCATATAATTTATTCCAAACCATGTAATATTCTGTATCTTCTTGATCTTTAATTTTAAAGGTTAATCGGACCATTTTGGCACAGTCAAAAAAAATTCGGATTACAGCCTCCTCTGGTGGGCTGTTCACATTTTTCAAATATTTAGCATATATGGTACTTGCTGCTATCAGTATGTGTAGGACTAAATATGTGGTCCCTTTATCATATCCCTCTGGTAGTACATCTAGGAGACACGTTTCTTGTTTCAACTCAATCTTCTATTTAATTATCATTTCTAGCCAGTTTTGTATTTTCTCCTAATACTCTCTTGCTTTACTACACGCCTACCACATCTTATCATAGTCTTGTCTAGGTCATATTTATCTGAGCTCCAACCTTTAATCTCTGATCAGGATTGTGTCTAAATCTGCATACATGCTTGACACTAAAGAAACACAGGTGCACCATCTATATGCAAGGAGAGGGACATAACATTTAATATATTAGCAGACTTTTTTTCAGATTGATTTTCAAGACGAAGACTAATTTTGAACTCAGGGTGTCCCCCAAAATATATATATATATATATATATCTCCTTGCATATAGATGGTGCACCTGTGTTTCTTTAGTGTCAAGCATGTATGCAGATTTAGACACAATCCTGATCAGAGATTAAAGGTTGGACATACACATACATACATACATACATACATACATACAATACATACATACATACATACATACATACATACATACATACATGAAATTAGAAGTCTCTGAAATTAGGTCTGGCTGAATGCAGTGAGATTTACTTTTGAGTAAGAATGCACTGTTAGTTATTCTTGTGTCGATATTTACCTGTAAGATACGTTTTTGCATATCTTTTCTGAAAGATAACTATCCTCCACAACAAAATAACTTGCATTTATTCTTTGACCGAAATGATCGATGACAGCTTTACACCTGTTGGAAAATAAGGGGGGAAAGGTTGTTTTTTTTAAAGCAAAACAATTTTGTCATTGTTAGATTGAGGAATATAAAATATTTACAGACAATTAAAAAATATACCCTAACCAACATGTTTTCTTTCCTTCAAACTTTTAGCATGAATTAAGAGTTTTGTCTGTCTTGTTTTTAGTCTGTTCTTGGTTTTATGTGGAACCCTGTTAACGTGGATTATTTTCAACAGTTTACACAAAATTGTGTTTGGATTTTTTTTTAAAATTAATTTCACAAAGAAAAAGAAAACTAGCAACAATTTTGTAATGATCTAGGATCATTTTAACATTTAACTATCTTTAGTACCTGTTCTGACCTAGTCTGCCCAATACAGTAAAAAGCATATGCTTTGTCCACAAAAAACTCTTTTTATTTCAAAGGCTGTGAATTATGTTTATTCACAGCCCTTAATGAGTCACAAATAGTTTGTAAAGAGTCTGACAGAAGTCTGCCAAAGTCTTTCAGGATAAGGCTGATAAGCTCTCACCTTTATCTCCCTTGAAGCGTTGCCAAAGACCTAATTGGCAACTAGCTTGCAAGGCCTCACGGGGCAAAGAGTCAAAAAGGAGCTTCAGAATTTAAACCGACCAGAACGAACAAAGTTGCTTCCTGCAAAGGCTCACTTCTCATTTATGTCCTATGGGAGCAACCAATCACCTCCAAGCCTTACTCCCGAGTCGTCCCTTTTGTCTTAACTGTTCTTGCTTTCTGGCAGCTCGGCGCATGCACACACTCGGAAGAGACTCCCACTGTTCTTCTGTCTCGCTGATGTCAGACTCCAGAGGCTCCGAAGGCAGCATATAACTCCCAGATGGCCCTGCCCCCCTGCTCTGTCTCCGACACAGAGCCCTCGTCCAAGCCTTCCCCAGACTCCAGAACTGGCCCATGTTCCCCCCCACCTCCTCACTGTCTGACTCTGCTAACATCTCCGCAGGCTGCTGGCGACCACAACAGTACTGTACCTTTCCCAGAACATTACCTTCTGTTATTCTTTCTGTACCAGGAGAAGAGTTTCCCCAGATTATAGATCTGGAGAATCTCAAGCAATCAATCTATCACCTTCTGCCAATATATCTATCCATCCTTCCCTCACCCCTTTCTTTTAAGAATATTTTTAAGTATAGACTTTGGAAGAGCTTTTACACTTTGTGCTCGAGACAGAAGAAAATGAAAAATGAACTATGAGCTATGGGATTTTCTGATTAAATTAGTTTATAGAAATGGCTAGTATTTACTAAGTATGTAAAACGTTGAAGTTGTAACTTTACTTTGTTTTGTATTCTATTGTGCAAAAAAAAAGGTGGAAGTCAATCCTTTTTTTCTTTCCCTTTTTATTCTACGCTTTTTTCCCTTTTTTCCCCTTTCCCTATATTTAGTTCAAATCATGATATTCTTAACTTTTTTAAAAAAAAGAAATGTCTTTACTTTGTCATACAAGGTGGTAAGGTCTGGTCTCTTTAATTATACTATAGTTAATTAAAGGAATCATAACTGGCTAGACTTGCATCACACCCCCAAGATCTGAATCATGGTTTGCAAACCATGGTTAGAATTTTAAATCAAAATCATGCAAACAATTGTTTTAGATAAATTTAGCTGCAGAAAAACAAATGAAATACTCAACTGAAAGTCATAGTGTTTCCGTTCAGTGTTACCATATTATTCTCTCTTCTTTTCACCCAACAGAACATCACTCCAAGTCCAGAAAGACCCTCACTTAAAGAGATCCCCCCCCCAATTTTCTATTGAAAGAAATATTTGCAATCTTTCCTATACTTCCAGGCCTCCTCACATCTCCCTTTTATTTGGTGGTGGTGTATTAGTTACGTAAGAATAATCACAAATGAATATTCAACAGAGGAAACGATAAATGAACAACATGAACTGAATTAGAGAAAAACAGAGGAATTTATTCTGCTCGTGACAGTTAAGTATTTTTATTTATACGCCCCAATTTTGTTTTGCTATCAGTTTACTGAAAACTGCCAAAAATGCAAGCCAAAAATGCTGGAATCACCATTTACATCAAACTAAATTCTTTGCTATTGTTTATGAAACTGTTTTGTACATTCTTCCATGGAGGAAGAGAGGAGGGGGAAGGTGGATTAAATGTCATATTACGAGACCCCACAGAAAGAGTCAATTCTCTCTCTCTCTCTCTCTCTCTCTNATCCTTACTATCTGGCTGGAATTCAGTTTGGTAGTGCAGGATACCTGATTGGCTATTGGAGACATGGAGGCAAGTGAAATAACTGAAGTGGCTGCTTAGAAGACCCAACAGCTACAGCCATTCTGCTATATTCTCAACGGTTTTAACGGTTTCTCCCCGAAACGCAATACAGATAGTCCTCGATTTACAACCATTGGCTTAGTAGCCATTCAAAGTTACAACAGCCCCTGGAAAAAGTGACTTGCGGCCATTTTTCCACACTTAACGACCGCTGCAGCACCCCCACAATCACGTGATCAACTGTCAGACCCTTGCAACTGGCTCATATTTATGATGGTCGCGGCTGATCCCCTTTTGCGACCTTCTGGCAAAGATTATGGGGAAAGCCAGATTCGCTTAGCGACCGGGGTTCTAACTTAACCGCTTTCAGACATTCACTTAACAACGGTGGCAAGAAAGATTGTAAAATGGGATGAAGCTTGCTCAACGTCTCGCTTAGCAACAGAAATGTTGGACTTGATTGTGGTAGTGAGTTGAGGTCCACCTGTAATTGTTTTCCTTCTGTTTTCTCCCTGGGCTTGAGAACCTTCAGCCTAGGTTGAGCTTAGAGTCCAGCCAGCCGTGCTGAGCCCAGCATCTGGGAATTCGTGCCAAGGATTTTCCTGCATCTTTCATTTGGCAGTGCAGTTATAATTCAGGAGGGGTTAAAAAAAGAGCTGAGTGTCAAATGCTCCCATCTTGTGGCATCCTCTTTAAAAAGGTAAAGGTTCCCCTCCCACATATGTGCTAGTCGTTCCTGACTCTAGGGGGCGGTGCTCATCTCCGTTTCAAAGCTGAAGAGCCAGCGCTATCCAAAGACGTCTCCATGGTCATATGGCCAGCATGATTAAATGCTGAAGGCGCACTGAATGCTGTTACCTTCCCACCAAAGTGGTCCCTATTTTTCTACTTGCATTTTTTATGTGCTTTCGAACTGCTAAGTTGGCGGGAGCTGGGACAAGTATTGGGAGCTCACTCAGTTATGAGGCGTTAGGGATACGAACTGCCGACCTTTAAATCGACAAGCTCAGCATCTTAGCCACAGAGCCACTGCGTCCCTCTTCTTACGGAGTTTAAAAAATTAAGATAACCACCTGTCATTCTAATGAATGAGCATTATCAGTCCCGCTGACCTAAAGTGTAAATACATAATTGGAGGCTTTTCTCCAAAGCTTATTAAAAGGATTTTAATAATCGGGGGAAGAAAAAGGCAGAGAGAAGCAAGTAATGAGGCGAATGACATGCTAGAGCAGAATATCTCAATTTATAACGTCGGTTGCAAAAGAGGGCGGAGGTCCCAGCGAGTTTCTAATCCAAGGACTGGCAGCATTTGGGGGGGAGGGAATGGCCACCCCATTGGACCTCACTGAAAAGTGGGAACAATAGTTTCTACAAATGAAGGAAATAAGTGTCTTATCCTCAGCCTGTAAGTAACCTAAAGGTAAAGGTTCCCCTTGCACATATGTGCTATTTGTTCCCGACTCTAGGGGGTGGCGCTCATCTCCGTTTCAAAGCTGAAGAGCCAGCACTGTCCAAAGACGTCTCCGTGGTCATGTGGCCGGCATGACCAAATGCCAAAGGCGCACAGAACGCTGCTACCTTCCCACCAAAGGTGGTTCCTATTTTGCTACTTGCATTTGTACATGCTTTCGAACTGCTAGGTTGGCAGAAGCTAGGACAAGTCACGGGAGCTCACTCCGTTACGCAGCACTAGGGATTCGAACCGCCGAACTGCCGACCTTTCAATCGATGAGCTCTGCGACTTAGCCACTAAATCACCTCATAAGTAACCTACTATCCCCACAAATATGAATGCAGGGAAAAATCAGAAAAATATTTATCTTTCTTTTCAAAGCAGTTTCTACTCTAGTCCTTATAATAATACAGTTTTAAGTGTCGTATTTCTGATCCTTTATTTAAATCCAGGGGTGTCCAACCTTCGTAACTTTTAAGACTTGTGGACTTGGATTCCCAGAATTCCCTAGCCAATATGGCTGACTGGGGAATTCAGATTTCCCGCAGCCAACATGGCTTAAAGTTGCCAAGGTTGGATACTCCCTGATTTAATCCAAAGGACCCATCAGACTTTTATAAGCTAAGGAGAATAGGACAAGAAATTCCTGCTGATGATGTTACCTAGTATGGTAACGAAACATTCAGAAACTCAATTGAAACAAGCTTAAAGAGCAAACCACTGCCAAAATCTAAAGGGTCCATTTTGTAGAAGAGGCATAACTTCATCTTACCCATTCCTTATAATTAATTTCAATACACATATGAATTAATCTAATCTTCAAAGTTAACCTAATGAGTGGTGTGGTGGCCTTGAGGTGGAACTCTCTCGCCTCACAATCAGGAGGTAGAGACAGATATTTCTCTCTCTGGGCACAATGAGAATGTATCTGCTGAAAAAAAACTCTGCATTGGCAACAGGAAGGGCATCCAGCCAGTAATTCAGTTGTCCAGACTCCACCCTGCAAGAGTCCTTAAAAGAAGATTGATGATGTTCAAGTTTAACCTAATCAATCATATTGATTGCTATAGTTTATTGCATAACTAATGAGTATCTGTGATTGGAATGTAACCTATCAAATCAAATGGTATTTGCATACATCTGTAAAGGTGAGCTTCTAATCCCGTCTCTTATTTAAGGGCCTTCTCTTCCATCTCTGGTCCCGGAGACCAGAGAGGGAAACAACCTGGGCTTCCATGTAATTATGTCTGATCTCCAGTTCAGACCTACTCCTGGGAAAAC